TCTGTAATGTAATTCAATGTTTTAAATTACTCATAGGTAATCCATCCATGGTGCTGAAGTAGCGTTATTTTTGTGCCTCTATCCTGAGCACATGTGTACATTTCCTATGCTCAAAAGGTTTCATTGCGTGCACAAACATAACGCCTAAATCTGTCTGCAACTATATATGCACATATGTTACGTTAAAATGGGGTGGGGCCTGGTGGTCGGGGGGTGGGGCCTGGTGGTCGGGGGGTGGGCCCGCCCAGGTAAATCAAATGCCCGCCCAGAGACGTATGTCTGCCGCCGGGTCTGACGGTGCTTATTAAGATATATTTAAAACTATGTGGTAAGTTGCCAAAGTGCTTTGTTTTGAACGTTCATCAGTATTATAATCAAAAAGAGAAATATGAAGTTCTAACCCTATCTCCTATTCCTTGACCTCTGAGTGAAACGTCACGGGGTTAAGGGATAGTGGATAGGAGAATTCAAAAGGACTTAGGAGAAGAGACTGCGGTACTTTAGAGAATCCGACTGCACTTTCACTATCCGACGTGTTTATCATGCGCCAGCAGCGGACGTCATGAATGTGCGTCTGCTGCTGTGGGGGAACTATGGAAACTACAGTTTTCTATAGCGGACTACAACATGGATGTTTAATAAGAACGAGGGACTACTGTAAACTCATCTAGAGACTCTGCACCGTGCTCTGATGCTGTTGCTTTATGCTTTATGAACGTGGACAACAGAGAAACATATTCTTCATGACCAAAGTTGGAATTGAAATAAAAAAGGAAAGTGAAACTTATGCTCGTCACCCTCTCCCTCCGGTCCACATTAATACAAATGATCCCAATACGTATGATTGTATGAACTATGAAAATATCTTAAAAATCAATACAAATGTATTTATTATAAACGTTAGTCTTTAACACCTATCACTGTGTATATCACCATTCAAACATCTTTTAAAAGTTGAACAAACTCCACACAGCTCAGTAAAGACAGTGAAATGTTGACTTTATTTGATCATTTCAGTAAAAACTAACATTCATATTTCTCTTTTTGATTATAATACTGATGAACGTTCAAAACAAAGCACTTTGGCAACTTACCACTTACGTTTTAAAATGCTTAATAAGCACCATAACTTTCATGATAGCCTATAACTTCTCCGTCCTAATCGTTTGTTTCCGTGAACGGCCGACTGTTGTGTGACGCCAAATGCTGCGGCTGCAATGCATTGTGGGGCAGCATTTTCTCCTCTCCTTTCGGTAAGGGAGGTCCAGTGGTTCCTAAGCTAAAGGAGGTTATAAAGGAAGTTTGAAACCTCCTTTCCTTTCATTTGGAGAATTGGAACGGCACTTATCATGGCTGCCAGTGACGTACTTCCGTGTCATTTCACTTGGTTAGGAAGGTTCCTAAGCTAAATGGACTATTGGAACGCAACCCGGATGAGAGACGCATCCTAAAACCAGGAAGTAAGCTGCGCATGGCTTCCCTCGACAAAAAAGCAATGAGATTTCTCCATAGGATTTTAGAAAATAGCTCCAAATAAGATCTGTGGGAAACGTACCTGTTAGATAAATGCACGTTTTGTTCAGCCGGATAATATCCACATGTCTACCCTACTTTTATAATTTTCGAATCATAAATCTATTGATTAGATTAGATTTATGATAGACTTTTGAAACTACAAGAACATAAGGAGGACTTTTACAAAAAAGTAAAAGAGATTTTTGTCCAGAAGGATAGGCAAATGGACTTCATCTTCAAGTCAAGGTAAGACCACCATTTTATTGAAAATGGGATCTTACTAAGAGAGAACAATTCAATATTTAAATGATAAAATTACATTTTTTTGGGTATCCTTTTGTTGAACTGTCCGTTTAAAATTAATCGAAGCATCAGACTAAAAAAGCTTTTGAAAATAATATTATATTTTGATTTAGGTCAAAATATAATATTTGTAAACCTGAAGAATCAGTGCCAGTGAAGCCATGAACCTCACTGCAGAAGCTTATAGACATCTACGTGTTTTGTGCCCCACCACTTTTGTACATATAAAAACGCCACTGGTTGCGCCGCATTTGCGGGTCAGTTGAGGCTCCATCCGCGAGGCCCCACGATCTGCCTGTAGGGAGGGATGGCACTGTGTGTGTGTGTGTGTGTGTGTGTGTGTGTGTGTGTGTGTGTGTGTGTGTGTGTGTGTGTGTGTGTGTGTGTGTGTGTGTGTGTGTGTGTGTGTGTGTGTGTGTGTGTGTGTGTGTGTGTGTGTGTGTGTGTGTGTGTGTGTGTGTGTGTGTGTGTGTGTGTGTGTCCAACCCAGTCTCACATCTAAACGTGTAATAACTACGTTGGTCTACAACTTGGGACGTAGTATTTATACAAAAACGCCTCTGAAATGGTAAGATCCCTACGTTTTTTTTCACCATTCATTCCAATGGCTGGCGACTATGTCACGTGATCTTCAAATTTCTCCCTGCAGAAAAAAAAAACATGGCCGACCTTCGTTTTATTCTCGGTGTAAAATGCCTATTTTAAAGTTAGTTTGGCCATTAAAATGCGTTTTGATGTCATTTGATGCGAGAAATATTAGTTGTTATTTCAGATTATGTGTGCAGTGGATTGACATGATCTTTAGTTTGCTAGTTATTACGAAGATTACTTCAGGAAATTGCGTCCATAACGTTTTCATTGTTACCAAGGTGGTTGCTAGGGACGCTGCTATCGATATTATTTCTGTTATGTTGTGTAACTGTTTAATGGTGTTATCTTTATTGCTACCCCCTTCCCCGTCAATGTATAGTGTTGGTCCACAGCGCAAACGTATTAGTTTAACAAAATCCGCAAAATTGTGGCATAGATACGTTATTTTCCCCTGTGTAATTACAGTCTCACATCTCACAGCACATCGTCATTAACAAATACCGGAAACAGACGTAGGCAAGATCCTCAGCTCGGTGATTGGATGGTTTAGCCGCAATGCACGTTGGGAAATGGTGTTTATGTGATGTGAAATCTGAAAACGTTTTTAAAAAATACAATAATACTTTATTCCGAGTGTGCTTGCTTTTCTCTTTGAAAGTCATCACATAACGACATTGTAATACACGGTTTCGGCTGCATTAAATATGACATATCTGCCGTAATTCTCTATTTATAGAGCCGTGCTGAGAAGACTTCTAGACAAACAGGAGAACTGCCGACAAAACTGAAGATGTGACGTGGATCATAAATATATAAGCAATTAAACAACATCTTACATTTATTTTCACACAATACGTCTCCTTGCAGTATCAACACTAATTCGGCTGATTTTTATATTTGATCCAATTGGTAGATAGTGTAGTGCCGAGAGATAGGGAGTCGGAGGCGGTGCAATGGAGGTACAAAGCTTGCTTTAATGAGCAGCAGAAATGTAGATGTTGTTGGGTCGCAGCCCGGGACGACAAGAGAGTGAAGTCAGGAGGGCACACAACATATATAGTAAACACATAACATGTCCGTGTGGGAACAATAGCCCCAACTGTAGTTCCATGTATGAATTATGTCCCAGTGTATTAATAGGTGGTCACCACACAAGCCCCCCCAGAATTCAAACATGGCAAAAAAAAATCCTCGCGTCCGTGGAGGAAGCACCACAGAGGCCGAGGAGGGTGGGGCCGCAGGTGAGGACCGGGCCATGGAACGGGCCACGAAAGGGGGCCGCAGGAGAGGGCAGGGGCCCTAACGAGGGCGAGGGCACCCACACCGGGGGCCGCAGTAGGTGTCGCGGAGAACCCAGTGTGAAGTTAAAACTTCTTTGCAGCAATGTTGAGCGCATCATCAAATGAGGGAAACTGGATTCACCTGTCAATACACTGATATTTATTGAGAGACAGACAATTACATACGGCCGGGAGATCATCCTAGTTTCACACTGTCCTTGTGCTCCACCAAGGTAATCTCTGCCCCAAAAGACACAAAACATCTAACCAACACGAGGAGAGGCGGGCTCCCAGAAAGCCCGCGTATACCTAATTAGTAGCAGATGTGAGACAATAGTCTACTTGTCTCAAAGAGATCCAGACAAGCCTCAACCTACACAGGAGTCTTTGACTGACTACAAGCAGATGTTTGCAGTATCACAGATTCTATAAAACAATAAGAAACTCTATAAACAGATCAGATGAAAATATTCTCTTACACCCAGCAGGAAAGAGCGCAACCCGGCCGCAGGCCGGGTTGCGCAACGGCGGTGGGCACGAAGCCCTCGGCAGGCGTCGAGGTATCCCCGGAAGAGAGGAGCAGTCCCCCCGGGAGGAAGGAGCGCAGCCCGGCCGCAGGCAGACGTGCAACGGCGGCAGGCACGAAGTCCTCGGCAGGTGTCGAGGTATCCCCGGGAAGCAGGAGAGCAACCCGGCCGCAGGCAGACGTGCCGTGGCGGCGGGCATGAAGTCCTCAGCAGATGTCGAGGCATCCCCGGGAAGCAGGAGAGGCCAGACAGGGTCCCGGAGCGCGCCACCCATGGGCCGATGGAGCATGGGCGACGTCCGGAACTGTCGAGGCGAGAGGGGGTCCAGAAGTGCGCCACCCAGGCGCCGATGAACGTGAGTGGCGTCTGGATATCCCCGGAAGGCAGGAGAGGCCAGACAGGCTCCGGAGCGCGCCACCCACGGGCCGATGGCAGCATGGGCGACGACCAAAACCGTCGAGGCGAGACGGGGTCCAGGAGTGCACCACCCAGGCGTCGATGAAAACGTGAGTGGCGTCTGGAACCGCCGTGGAGGTGGTGAAAAATGTGAGAGTGTCCACATGAGGTCAACCGGCTGGTCGAACCTCCTCTCCGGCACCAGAAAAAAAGCTCAAAAGGATCGATAGCTGTTAGCAGCTAGCTGGCAGCCATCGGTAGCTGCTAGCCGTAGCCGTTAGCTAACGTGGTTAGCTGCTAGTCGTCGATAGCTAGCGCAGCCTGGACTTGCGGCCGCACGCCCCGAAGAAACAACCCCACGTGGAAGGAGTCTGGTTCTCTCCCCTACCCAGCAGGTCGTGCATCGTCTCCGTGTAGATGGAAGGCCCGCTGTCCTCCAGTGTCGAGACGATGCGGGAATGGCGAGTGACGTCCTCAGCCATTCCGCGGGGGGCGCACCGAGCCTCAGTCCGTGTGCCCATGGCAGCCACGGACGTCTCCAACAATCTCTGGCATAACGAGAAAAACAGCGCTTTTCGCCATGTTCGGGTCCGTCCCGGAAACTTCACGAGACGTTGTCAGGGTCACCAATGTAGTGCCGAGAGATAGGGAGTCGGAGGCGGTGCAATGGAGGTACAAAGCTTGCTTTAATGAGCAGCAGAAATGTAGATGTTGTTGGGTCGCAGCCCGGGACGACAAGAGAGTGAAGTCAGGAGGGCACACAACATATATTGTAAACACATAACATGTCCGTGTGGGAACAATAGCCCCAACTGTAGTTCCATGTATGAATTATGTCCCAGTGTATTAATAGGTGGTCACCACAATAGGCTGTATTTAAACCATAACCGTGCACAGCTGATAGAAAGGGACACCTGGTGGTCAAAGCACGTTATTGAATTGTATTATTTTATTATTAGATATTAATAGGAGGATGTGCAAAACAGACAAACTAATAAGGCTTAATTTAAACATTAAAGAGTACTTTAGGTTAAGGTCTTCTTTTGAATAAGAAAAAAGCTTTAAGAAGAATATGGAGGGATGAAACCCTCTTGAAACCGCAGGTCCTTCCTTCCTGCAGCGGTCAGACTTTACAACCAGCACTGCCCCTAGTAGACCCTCCTACACACACCACAACACAGACTATAACACCCCTTGCTGCTAAATACAAACCAACTTTGTGCAATATGTGCAATATATATATGCCATTAATAACTGTGTAATTTATACCTGGCCACTAAATCAATATATATGCCGTTTTGTTTTTGATCTGTATTTTTGAAAATTATGTAACTTTTTATCTTTTTTTTAGCATATTGTTTATTATATTATAACTTAGTACTTTTTTAGCATATTGTTTATTTTATTCTAACTTAGTACTTTTTTAACGCATGTAAGATATGCAACACTAAGCTGTCTGTGGCTCTTTCCTGCTGTAACGCTGCACATTTCCCCTCTGTGGAACTAATAAAGGTATTCTGATTCTGATTCTTTAATGGTCACACATGCAGAGCACACAGCACACACAGTGACATTTGTATCTACAGATAAATATTAAGCCTGACAAAGTACTTAACGTCTAATATATTGCTTTCCTGCAATGTTAACTATGTTTAAGCACTTATTTGTTTATTATTAAACTGATATTATACATATGTATTATACTCTTATAAGATGTATGTAGATAGTATAAGAAATGTGCAGAATGACAGTTTAATGGTGGAGTATAAACACATATTGATAGATGTCTTGTAATGCGCTGTTGAGGAACCTGCGACCCAAGTTTTTCATTCATTGCATAACTACACAGTAGTTGTGTATATGATATGTCAATAAACCTTAGCTTAGAAAATCTTGAAATCTTGAAAGGGATGTGCAAACTAGTCATTATATACAGTCTTTAATGAACTATTAGTAGAGAATAATGAGTAAGGAATATACTTTATAGGGATCCTATTAATATCTAATAATAAAATAATAAAATTCAATAACGTGCTTTAACCACCAGATGTGCCTTTCTATCAGCTGTGCACCGTTATGGTGTAAATACAGCCTATCTACCAATTGGATCAAATATAAAAGTCAGCCGTATTAGTGTTGATACTGCAAGGAGACGCATTGTGTGAAAAGAAATGTAAGATGTTGTATAATTGCTTATATATTTATGATCCACGTCACATCTTCAGTTTTGGCGGCAGTTCTCCTGTTTGTCTAGAAGTCTTCTCAGCAGGGCTCTATAAATAGAGAATTACGGCAGATATGTCATATTTAATGCAGCCGAACCGTGTATTACAATGCCGTTATGTGATGACATTCAAAGAGAAAAGCAAGCACACTCGGAATAAAGTATTATTGTATTTTTAAAAAACGTTTTCAGATTTCACATCACATAAACACAAAATCCCAGCATGCATTGCGGAGAACCATCCAATCATCGAGCTGAGGATCTTGCCTACGTCTGTTTCCGGTTTTGTTTAATGACCGATGTATTTTGTTATACACACATTCCTTCACATTTACATTTTAATGTGCATTAAAGTATTTCGTGAGGCCTTCTAACATGTTTTTAAATATAACTACGGTTGTAGTTGAATAGTTTGTAAATTAACATGAACCGAAGCTGTTACTTGGCAACTCAATCGCACAACGTCACGTCCGTTAATTCCACATCCACACGCACGGATTAACATCGATTTAATACATTAATGTAGCCTTTGTTTCTGCTAAATGAGGTGTCGACCAGCTGGGGCAACAAGAAAATCGCCGTAATCGAGTGTGACTATTAAAAAATAAATCATTACGTCGGGGTAGCATTTTCTTGGTATTTCCGGTTATTTCTCCACTGGTTAACATGGGTTAACAATACCGTGTAGCTGTCACGTTTGAAGGGGACGAAATCGTGACATCTTCACGTCTCCCAGCATGGTAAATCGTCACATGTTCACGTCTTGCCGTGATACCGGGTTGTATTATACACAACTACGGTGTAGTTATGCAATGAATGAAAAACCTGGGTCGCAGGTTCCTCAACAGCGCATTACAAGACATCTATCAATATGTGTGTATACTCCACCATTAAACTGTCATTCTGCACATTTCTTATACTATCTACTTACATCTTATAAGAGTATAATACATATGTATAATATCAGTTAAAGTAAGTAAGTGCTTCAACATAGTTAACATTGCTGGAGGTATATATACAGTCTTTAATTAGCTATTAGTAGAGAATAACGAGTAATGAATATACTTTATAGGGATCCTATTAATATCTAATAATAAAATGCAATAATGTGTTTTAACCACTAGGTTGTAGGGGCTTCAAAACCCACGGTCTAAATGTAACAGGATATAAATACATTGATTGGATGTTGAATTCAAATATATCTGTATATTTACCACAAGAAGAACAGAATAAACAGCTTCACGCCGTTTGCTCTGGGTTTTTTAATAACGTTCCATCCTACATCTGCTCCCTGATCTCACGGTGAATTGTAAGTGGCTACTGCCTGAGATCGCATGCTGTGGTTTTATTAAATGTGCCAACTGCTAGGACTGTCTTAGGGAAGACAGCTTTTAGATGCGCAGCTCCTCTGTCTTGGAATAGTCTGCAATTGAAATGGAAACTGAGCAATCCGGTGCCTCTAAATGTTTTTAAAACTTGGTTGGATGCTACTCAATCGGAAGCTGTTGGTACCTGTTCATGTGGATAGTTATTGTAAATTGTAATCCCTGTAATGATGCTGTAAGATGTCCTTTTTGTTGTTCTGTTTATGTTTGTATGTTTCATGTGGAACCTATTTGAGCAGGTCTCCCTTGAAAAAGAGATCAATGATCTCAATGGGATTCACCTGGGTAAATAAAGGAAAAAGAAAAAAGTCCTACCTGAGCTCCACAGCAGCAGCAGCAGCAGCAGCAGCAGCAGGTGATCCATGACAGGTAGAGATAGATACTTTATAGATATACGTATACTTTATTATGTTGGGAAATAGTTTAGGTAGAGCGTCTCTCTTCCGTCTCTCTGAACATCTCACATGCTGTCGTGTCTTTATATCTGCGCACAGGAAGAGGTGCAGCTGCTCTGGAACAATATCTGATCGTATTTATCTGATGTTTTCTTCCTGTATGTTCCTGCCTGTGTACATGACATAAACTGCTCATAACCAATTGCCCCTTGAGGGATTAATAAAGTTGTTGATTGATTGATTGTAGCAACAAGTCCTCCAACTCATACGACCAATTATGCCGATTTTTCAGGCCCAATTATTACGACCAAATATGTTTGTTCAAGCGCTTAATACGTCCTGCTCCCGTTGAATACAAACGTTACAGATGGTCGTTTACACACAAATAACCTTCTCTGTAAAATCCTAAATTGTAGGATAGTTTGGCCATTAAAACGCTTTTTGATTAGATTTCTAGCGAGAAGTGTATATTGTACTTTTAGAATCCACGTCCAGTCGATATGTAGGATATATAGTATGATAGATATTACGAAGATTATTTTTAGGTATGCGGCAGCCTCCTATTACCGCCGCAGATGGACCAGAAAAGGGAGCGTTTGAAAAAAAGTGGCGGGTCCGCTCAGTGAAACGATAACAACGAAACATGGAGGAACAGAAGTCTGCGTTTAAATCGTGTGTGTGTGTGTGTGTGTGTGTGTGTGTGTGTGTGTGTGTGTGTGTGTGTGTGTGTGTGTGTGTGTGTGTGTGTGTGTGTGTGTGTGTGTGTGTGTGTGTGTGTGTGTGTGTGTGTGTGTGTGTGTGTGTAACACACTCTCACTCCATAATCGTCCAGGAGCGACGTTTGGTCAGTGTCCGTGGCGTCCAGTTGTGACGCTCCTAGGCTCCTTCAGCTTCATAAAGAGACGCAAATTATAGCTTTCAACTGATTGCAATGTATTCCCATCTGTGGCGGGATTTGACGCTCATGGAAGCACGGCATTCGTTTGTGTCTGCTGCCCTTAAAGGCAATGTGAGCGTCCATTCCCATTGGATAACGGAGAATTGTACAACCGGAAGTAAGTATTCCCCTTACTGTGGATTGATTTTACAGTGATATCGACTAAAAAACACCAGATTATCCTTGTTAATTACACAACATTGATTGGTTTAAATTGTGTGTTTTTGTATTTTTCCCCTTCGATTCGGAGAAACAAATATTTTTTCGGAGTAAAGAATGGCAAAAGCTGAAGGAGCCTAGGATTCCAATTCCAGTTTTGTAAAGTCTGCCGTGGCTCCATTCCATTTCAAAGAGCTGTTTGACGCTCGGCGTAACCTTGCCGCACTGCCACTCCAACATCCAATCACAGGGCTTGATGACTAATCACGGGGTTTGTAAAGCAAGGCGGATGTTGTAGTCCCAAACGATAGCTGGGGATTCTGGGTAGTGTAGTGCCTTCGGAAACTGTAGTGTCTAAACTCCTATTTGTTTCTCTGAATCG